AGCTTCCGAGGTAGACTGGACGAATAGTGGGTTAATCTCTGCATTTAAAAAGGGACTATCTGAAACTATGCTAGAAGAGATCGCCGCCAAAGACTTACCCAAAAAGCTTAATGAATTTATCACTTTTGTCATGCAAATTGTAATAGATTGAGAACCAGAGAAGCTACCAAAAACAAGACCAGACACATGAATATGCCTTTAGCACCCCACTTCTCCAAACCTATTGTCCCTGAATTTCCTGTACAGTCCGAACCCGAACCCATGCAGTTGGGGGTCACTAGACTGTCAGAAGCAGAAAGACAATAAAGGAGAAAAGAAGGCCTATGTCTATACTGTGGTAGGAAGGGACATATGAGAAACAATTGTCCCATACGTCGGGAAAACTACCGCACCTAAGCGCCTTAAGGGGACAGGTCTTAGGTGTAATGGAAATGTCCTCTGGAATGGATAAAAATAGATTTCTCCTTGATATTTCTATTGCCTTTGAAAAGAAGAACTTTTAATGAAAAGCCCTGATGGATTCAGGTGCCGCTGGAAACTTTGACGTTCAATTTGTTAAAGGTAATACTATACCTATCAAGGAGAGACTATCACCCCTAGCTGTTGAAGCTATTGACGAGAGACCACTCTCACAACCATTGATTTCACACAAAACCCATTAATTTGTCCATTGGTGCCTTACACAAGGAAGAGATTACATTCCAGATTATTGCATCCCCTTCCTGTCCGATCATATTAGGCTTTCCATGGCTTAACAAGCATAACCTTCGTATTGACTGGGCTAATGGGGAAATATTAGAATGGAGTAAGGATTGTTATGAAAGGTGTATATTGAATGTTGCCAAAAGAGTGGGCACTATTGGATTACCCACTAGTACACCTCAAAACCCGGAAATCCCTATACAGTACCAAGACATTAAAGAAGTATTCAGCAAAACTCAGTCGAATACTCTACCACCTCACAGACCTTCTGACTGTTCCATTCATTTACTACCCGGGGCTATGCCACCTAAGGGAGCAGTCTATGCTCTGTCACCTCAGGAGAGTAGAGTAATGGAGGAATATATAACAGATTCAATGAATAAAGGCCACATACGAAAATCATCCTCGCCTGCTGGGGCAGGATTCTTTTTTGTATCTAAAAAGGACGATGAGTTGCGCCCATGTATCGATTACAGGGCATTGAACAAAATCACCATTAAAAACACCTACCACATTCCTCTTATTGCGGAATTATTTGATAGACTCCAAGGCGCTAAAGTATTTACTAAGCTTGATCTTAGAAGTGATTACAATTTAGTGAGAATCAAGGAAAATCACGAGTGGAAGACTGCATTTAATACCAGAAATGGACACTATGAATATCTAGTGATGCCATTCAGGTTGTGCAATGCTCCAGCGGTTTTCCAAGATTTCATAAATGATGTACTCAGGGATTACATTTACTTGTTTGTTTTGGTCTATCTGGATGATATCCTGATTTATTCTCCTGACATTCAGACTCACCACGATCACGTTAGACAAGTTCTGCAGATCTTGTTAAAGAATCAACTTTATTGTAAATTAGAAAACTGCATATTTGACCAATCTGAAGTACAGTTTTTGGTATATAATTTCTCTGCAACAGGTTTCAGATGGATCCTAAAAAGCTGGAATCGGTTCTACAATGGCCTTTACCCACTGGGTTGAAAGCCATTCAAAGGTTCATTGGTTTTGCCAATTATTACAGAAGGTTTATAAAGGGATTTTCTTCAGTAATAGCCCCCCATCACCAATATGACACGCAAGGGGGTTAGCAGTAAGATATGGTCTTAAGAAGCCTTTGAAACTCTCAAACAGCAGTTTGCATCCGCCGACATATCGATACATCTTGACACCAGTAAACCTTTCATACTGGAAGTTGATGCATCAGAGACAGGGGTAGAGGCAGTTCTCTCCCAGAGGGAGAGCCAGGATACTCCATTGCATCCTTGTGGTTACTTCTCTAGAAAGTTGTCTCCTGCCGAGCGCAATTATGATATTGGCAATAGGGAATTGTTGGACATTACTCTAGCTCTCAAGGAGTGGCAACATCTTTTAGAGGGTTCCAAGGACCCCCCTTTTGATCATTACTGATCACAAAAACCTGGCTTACATAGGAGATGCTAAACGATTGTCTTCTAGACAAGTTAGGTGTTCTCTGTTCCTTTCTCGCTTTAATTTTCTTATTACTTATAGACCTGGTTCTAAAAATTTCAAGGTTGACGCCTTATCCAGACAGTTTGATATGGAGTCTATACAATAGCAAGAAAAGTCCCATATCATTCCCCCGGAATGTATCATTGCTTCCACTATTCTTTCATTGTCCTCTCCACTGCTTGGCTCCATCATGGAGGCTCAGTCTTAGGTGCCCTGCGGTAAACCTCAGGACAAACTGTTCGTTCCATTGGGGGAAAGGGTTAATATCATGAAGGTGTTTCACAACAATGTATCTGCTGGTCACCCAGGTATTAATAAATCCACTTCTGCTATCATGAGGTCATTCTGGTGGGACTCCCTCAGGAAGGATGTTAAGTAGTATGTGCAGGCTTGTTCTGTTTGTGCAGTTTCCAAAGTACCTCATAAACTCCCTTGTGGCTTGTTACAACCTCTTCCCGTTCCTGAGGTCCCATGGTCCCACTTGTCTATGGATTTCATTGTAGAACGTCCTAGTTCTAATGGTTATACCACTATTCTCATGGGTGTTGACCGTTTTTCTAAAATGGCTCACTTCATCCCTCTCAAGAAATTACCGTCATCTCAAGACCTGGTACTGATCTTTATACGTGAGATTGTCTGTCTGCATGGCATTTCTCACAATATTGTATCTGATAGCGGTTCTCAGTTTGTATCCCGGTTTTGTAGGGCTTTCAATAGGCAATTGGGAATTGAATTGTCTTTTTCATCCTCGTACCACCCCGAGACCAATGGTACAGCTGAGAGGGCTAACCAGTCTTTGGAGTTATACTTGCATTGTTTCGTTAATAGCACTCAAGAAAATTGGTCCAAATTATTACCATGGGCCGAGTTTGCCAGGAACAATGCTGACCATGACTCCTCTGGGCATAGTCCATTTTTTGTTGATAATGGCCGGCATCCTACTGTCCTACCGGCTGTTTTTTCTGATACGGCTATTCCTGCTTTGGATGACCATCTGGCTTCCATCCATGATACCTGGGTTAAAGTTCAATCTGCTCTGGGTACTGCTGCTGCCGTTTCAAGCATTATGCTGATACACGTCGAGGTGCCAACCCTGTTTACCAAGTGGGTGAGAGGGTTTGGTTATCTTCTCGTAACATCAGGCTCAAAGTCCCTAGCATGAAATTTGCTCCTAGGTTCCTTGGACCTTTTCATGTCCTTCGTAGGACCAATCCTGTTGCGTACTCTCTGGCCCTTCCGGCCTCCTTGAAAATTCCTAATACCTTTCATGTGTCCTTGCTCAAATCACTTGTTTGCAATAAATATACTGTCACAAGTGTCCCTCCTCCTCCCTTAGTTGTTTCTGGACAGGAAGAGTATGAGGTCTCCTCCATAATTGATTCCAGGTTTTCTTGGGCACTTTACAGTACTTGGTGGATTGGAAAGGTTATGGACTTGGGTTCTGGCATCTGATATACATGCTGGCCGCAAGATTCGCTATTTTCACGCCAAATTTCCTCTCAAGCCTGGTCCTGCCCGCCCGGTGGGGGTAATGTCACGTATTCATCCGCTTATAAAAATGTGGTTATTAACATTTACTGTCCACACAGGAAAAGTTGTGCCGAGCAGCAACCAAATCCACAGAAGGGTTAATGTTGAGCAGCAATTATGCAAATGGGGACCTGGTAACTGCTTTGGGGTCAGAGGCCGGTTACAGCCTATCAGATCTAGAGGAGGGGTATTTAGGCCCAGTTCTCATCCTGCTCAGTGCCCTGTCGTGGTTTCCCTTGTGGTTGTCTGAGAGCGCGTTATTGATTCTGGTAATTTTGGTTATTTGACTTTGGCATTATTTTTGACTTCCCTGTTTTCTGGTATCCCTGACTCCTGGCTTTTCCTTAACATTGTGTCTCTTTCTGTTTCCCTTGACCTCAGCTATTACTGACTATTCTTTGTTAGTCCGACCATTCTAAGGTCCGGTATGCGTTACCAATCAGTCCTCTGTTTTACACAATTCTACGTGCTGGATCATTCTGTAATCCTGATACAAGGTCGCCATTGGACGTTCATCGTCAGTCTGCTGTGAAATAGAAATATGCAAGGAATTGACATTATCCACCCTCTAATTGTGGGCTGGCTAATGAGGCACCAATGATGCCGTCGGAGGTGGAATTATACTGTTTTGTATGTAAAAGACAGTAATTAGCATAATGTAGAAGTGACAGAGTGGAGAAGAAAACTATTTTTCTATAAAAGAAATTAAACACATACCTTTTGAATGTCCGTTATCTCTGTTAATTTTATCACTTTATTCCTCTTAGAAGAACCAGATTTTGAACTTTCAAAGCATAAATAGCTGTAAAAATAGCAAATATGGGGATGGGGGGGGAGATATGCAGTTTGATGTTAAATTTATAATACTGACCGGAATATTGCACTCCTACCTCCTATCCTAAACAGTTTGACCAACCCAGTCTGTATAACCATGCCTTTGTTTTTGCGTCATGCAGGTTACACAATAAATCTTGTTAATAATTGTATAGAGCCACACTGGGTGAAATGTGTTATTCAGATCACTATGTATACAGTGCCGACATTTTGTGCAGTGCTTTACAGTTATACAATGAGGATATATTTTACTAGTCAGGGCCGCCATCAGGGCATGACAACCGCAACGGTTGTCATGGGCCCGGCGGTCCTGGGGGGCCCGGACTGCTCAGGTCGTCCGGGCCCCAGATTCAGTGGGTACATACCGGGGTCGACCCCGGTATGTACCCACTGGGCCAGCCTCTTCTCCTGGGGGGCCCAGCAGCCGGTCACCTCAGGGCCCCCCAGAGGCTGGCCCTGAAAGCTGGCGCGCGAGGGAGCACTCTGTGTGCTTCCTCTTCAGCTCCCTCGCGCACCGTACTGATGCCGGAGCCGGAAGATGACATCATCTTCCGGCTCGGCATCAGTACGGTGCGCGAGGGAGCTGAAGAGGGCACACAGAGTGCCCCTCACGCCGAAACCGCCCGCTCACCGGCCCGGGGTGAGGAATTAAATGGGGAGGAATTAAAAGGAGGGGAATTAAATGGGAGGGGAGGAATGAAATGGGAGGGGGGGAATTCAATTTATGGGAGTGGGGAAGAAATGAAATTTATGGGAGTGGGGGGGAAGAAATGAAATTTATGGGAGGGGAGAGGAATGAAAATTATGGGAGGGGGGGAAGAATGAAATTTGAGGGAGGGGGAGGAATGAAATTTGAGGGAGGGAGGGGGAGAGGAAGGAAATTTGATGGGGGGAGAGGAATGAAATTTGAGGGAGGGAGGGGGGAGAGGAAGGAAATTTGAGGGAGGGAGAGAGGAAGGAAATTTGAGGAACGGGGGAGAGGAAGGAAATTTGAGGGAGGGAGAGAGGAAGGAAATTTGAGGGACGGGGGAAAGGAAGGAAATTTGAGGAACGGGGGAGAGGAAGGAAATTTGAGGGATGGGGGAAAGGAAGAAAATTTGAGGGACGGGGGGAGAGGAAGAAAATTTGAGGGATGGGGGAGAGGAAGGAAATTGGAGGGGGGAGAAGGAAATGAGAGGGAGGGGGAGAAGAAGGAAATTGGAGGGGGGAAGAAGGAAATTGGAGAGAGGGAGGGAGGGGGAGAAGAAGGAAATGGGAGGGAGAGAGAAGGAAATTGACACACGTACACAAGCAATGCATCCCTTACACACAGCAACACACAATGCACCCCTTACACACACTCAATGCATCCCTTACAGACGCACACACTGCATCCCATACATACACAAACTCATCTTGCAGCCCTTACACATACAAACACAGATTCACACAATGCATTCCTTACACACATCAGGACATCCCCCACACACACACTCCACTCCCTGTGAACAAACTCATTGGTGGAACATGAAGGTGGACCCTGGGACCCAGACCTTGAGCTGTGTAAAGGGCCCTCAAAAAAATGGAGCTGCTTCCCGTTCTCCCAGAACAGTGATTTTTGTGACCACAGTTACAAACCGCCTCCAGAGAGCCTGTTGTACACCAGACCATTGGAGCCAGACGGCAGCTAGAGCCCATCATCATCCTCAACTGGTTGTAAGTAGGCAATCTAGTATATTATTCGTGGCACTAATCTCTAATTTACCTCACATTAAAGGGACACTATAGTCCCCAGAACCACTGCAGCTTAATGTAGTGGTTCTGGTGTCTAGCCTGTACCTGCAGGCCTTTTAATGTAAACACGGCGGCACTGCAGCACTGGTGTTAGTTAACATGGCAGATCATATGGGTGGGGCATTGTGATGTCCCATTGTGATGGGATTTGGGGGGGGAGGGAGGGGGGCAGCACTTTGGGCGGACTGGGGGGCCCAGACCTTGAGCTGTGTCAGGGGCCCCAGCATTTCTGATGGCAGCCCTGTTACTAGTAATTGACATACAATTAATATTGCAGAAGAAATTAGGAGCAGGAGGCCCTGCTCAAGCTAACAAACTTAGAGAAGTCCTGCTAATATAAAAGTGTAACATTCTAAAAAGAGCAACAGTTACAACAGAAACCAATGGCATCTGCGAGTACTTTCAAATTCAAAACCCCCTGAGTGAGGCCAACAGAGGGGGTGACAGATAGAAATCTAGCTGCCCTCGAGTTGTGAGGTTGGTTATTATGGATGTTGAAGTCACCAAAGATGAGGGAAGGAATGTCAGAGGAGAGAAAGTCAAGGGGATGGCAGATAACAGCAACACAGGCTAAGAAAGGATAGATGACACGGTTGGAGTGGACTTCAAAAGGATGAAAATGAGACAAAAGGAGAAGGGACGGGGGGGAGGCAAACAAAAACTCCACACCACCAAGCATTGCATGGCATGGGAGAGTGGGGTGAGTGCAATCAACTATAGGATAAGATATCATGAGTAGCCGTGCCAGAGGAAGTGAGCCAGATTTCAGTAAGTGCCAAAAGGTTTAAGAAACAATAGATGAGAACATTGTGAGGTAGTAGATTTCATGGAGCTACAGATTGAGTATGTATTCCAAAGGGCACATCGAAAATAATCGGATTTAGAGAAGTATATGCAAGATTCTTGGTTGTCAGGATAAGGGGATGCAACTCTTGATGCTAAAAGCAAAAGGGTAGGCCAAGAAAGAAGGAGGGAACGGGACTTAAATGCATGCGTTGGACATTGTGATTTGGAGGGGACAAGTAGATGTGAGATAATATTGTGAAGTAAGATTGCATGAGATGAAACAAGGGGTGAAGGAAGTATAGAAGGAGCAATACGGATTGAGATAGTTTGTGGTGCGTGGAAGGGAAGGAGTGCTTTTTCAAAAAGAAGAATTAGATTGGGAATAAAGTAACAATGAGAACATTTGATAAATAAATGTATAAAGACTGGGGAAGTCTGAGAGCCAGGCAGGAATTGGTGAGAGTAAGAGGTGGTGAGTAGTGATGTCCCGAATGGTTCGCCGAACGGTTCGCCACGGACTGCGAACATATGCGCTGTTTGGTCCGCCCCCTATTCGTCATCATTGAGTAAACTTTGACCCTGTACCTCACAGCAGACACATTCCAGCCAATCAGCAGCAGACCCTCCCTCCCAGACCCTCCCACTTCCTGGACAGCTCACTAAGAATGCAGCTTCACAATTAATGTAAAATGGATGCTGTCCAGGAGGTGGGAGGGTCTGCTGGAATGTGTCTGCTGACTGTGAGGTACAGGGTCAAAGTTTACTCAATGATGACATAGGGGGCGGACGGAACAGCGCATATGTTCACCGTCCGTGGCGAACCATTCGGGACATCACTAGTGGCGAGTAATCAATGCAGGAGATTTTAAGACTGTTTAGACACTGAGGAGTTAGCAGCTGATATCTATCCATCTCTCTAGCTATATCTAATGAATAAAATGAAATGCCAGGAAATTTATGTGAAACTTTACGGACACTACTCACTTTTCAGTAACATAAAGAATCCCATTCCTTATGTAGTCTGTCGGCATCTTTCTGTCGCGGTTAATCAAACAGCAACGCCAGCCATTGTCGCATGCTAGAACAGGGGAAAGAAAAAACAAAAACCACAATTAGAAAGAAGTTACACTAGTTTACCAATCCTGCATAATCTTCCAGTGCTTAGTAACAACCGGTAACCGCAGACACACTAATAACACGCTAAGCAACAAACTATCAATAGATCCCACCTAGACCTTAGTGTGAACTTGGAATCTAGAAACTATGCGGATGACAAGTTCACAAGCAGGAAGTTATAAAAGCCTATACACTGTCCAAAGATATAAGTGTCTTAGAATAACTCTACGGAGATTTCCTCCATGCACCGCATGACCGTGGGTTAAAGACATGTAGCTGTGTCAGTAGCCATATCCCTTCCATGGTATGAACCACCCTTAGATGCAATCTGTACTGCTACTATGTTACGAGCACAAGCAAAGCAGGAAAGTACTTGCACCAATTCTTCTGGGTAAGGTCTTGCAAGCACCATGCACATGCGATATGTAGGCTTTCCGTCACTAAATACAGGATGCAAGTGTTCTAGCATCCCCCGGGCAGTCAGCTGTCTCTATTTACCTGAGAGTGGGCGCTCTGTTTCAGCTATATTGAACACCTCGTGAAAACTGTTCTTTTTTGTATTGTGGAAACGGCCCCCCTCATCATCTCGGCTCACGCTTTGCGGGGCCCCACTGGACACGTTACTCCTGGAGGAGACGGTTTGAACCTGAGAATAAACACATGCAATTCGTTATAAGAACATATTATATTCCAACATACAAGATAAAATGATTAAAAACAGCAGAATATGAAAACAGAAGCGGATACACTCCTTACTGATCCTACAAAGCAGCAGCACTCAATCGGTAAAAGGAGACTTTGAAAATCTGAACATAAATGCTGTCCAGAGAAATGTTATATTTAGGCTGTAGGGAGAATACTGATAAACAGCCCCAATGGTAATAGAGTGAAATTAGCCAAAAGGCTATTGATTATACAATTCTTTACATGATCCAGACATTAAATAAAGATAGATTCAGCTATAGTTTGTCACTATATTAGCATCAGTAGACTTGGCAGCTAAGTGTCATTAACACGTCTTGGAAGACTTGAACTAGGATCTGTGTTACCTAAACCAATAACATTCTGTTGATACTGCACACATTCCCTATCTAGTTTATGTGAAATCAGTGAAGTATTTGAATGGCACATGGCGATATTTTTCCCAGTAAGGATTGAGCTATAATTACTTTCTAACACTAAACGGCGCGTAATTCCAGTAGCTTTCTTTAAACAACTGGGGAAATGAAACCACGTTTCCACCATTTCATTAAACAAGGTTTAACGGCTATAAAGAGTGATTGTTTATGTAGAAGGGGAGGGTTATTAGCAGAAATAGATGATATACAAATAATGTAGAATTCTCAGCACATGAATAACAAATGAAGACCTGTAGAGTGTTTAACCCCTTAAGGACCAAACTTCTGCAATAAAAGGGAATCAGGACATGTCACACATGTCATGTGTCCTTAAGGGGTTAAAGGGATACTCTTGGCTAGACCTGGCTCGTCTTTTCAATGTCTTATACAGATAAAGATACTCACATTTAAAGTTCCATATATCAAGAGACATCTAGCCTTAATTTTTTTTCTTGAAAGCTTTAATTTAAAAGTGTTTTAAACCATAACACCTACACTTATATTGCCCCTTTCTCGTTTAGGTCTCTGTACTTCTGATGGTGGCCATGAACAACGGACTGCTATAGAATGAGTACAGAGTACTCCACAAACACTGCACAAAGCATTAGGCTAAAAGGGTTAATACCGCACATACGTAAAACTGAGAAAAATCGCAAAGCATTTCTCCTGCTGAAAACACTTTATAAATACATACAAAAATAATACAATGCTGTTATGAACTAAAAGGCAGGCATTTCTCAGGGAAAAAATTTTTTTCTTTTCAAAAAAAGAGAACAAAAAGTTATTAGTAGTGGATCAATCACAATATACACTCACTAAAGCCATTTACAGG